AGTGAGATATCAGCTCTTTCTCTCGTCAGCTCTAGGACTGCGCGTCGAGGGATCCTACAAGCTATTACAAATTACGGCAAGAATACAAATTTTTATGTGGTTCGGCAAATTGCCTACGTCCACGGGGCAAGGAGGGGGAGATCTACTATTAGAGAGAGAGAGAATACAACTGGGTTTACAATCACACAATTTAAACCCTCACACAAACTCTCAGATCCCTCACACAAAATCTCTCTCAAAAGGGGAGGCACAAAACCCTAAAAGACAGCTACACAAATCCCTAGAAGAGATAGCGGAATAGAGTTATTTTTCTTTTCTGCAAGCCTTCTGCTTCAACTCTGCATGCCTCCCAAAGCACTGCTCCTTTTGTTCTCTATGTCTGTTGCAGCCGCCAAAAGAAAACCCCAGCCTTGCACTCTTCCGCAGCCGCAAAAAAGAAGAACAAAACAAAATCCTTCCTTGCACTCATCAGCGCAAAACCCTAGGTGCTCATTTTATAGAACCAAATGTCGGGTGGGCCTGCTCCTTTCCGCACCTATGAACAAAGAATTTTGTTCACGTGGGTATAGTGGACCCCACGTGCTCACACTTCATCCGAAGATGCTCACCATAAGGGGGGTTATTGGTTGGGACAAATTGGGGCCAAGTGGGAAAAGTGTTCCAATGGAACAAATTTATTCTTTTGGGATATTTTGAGTGGGGTAAAATAGGATAAAGTGAGATAATAAGATAATTTCAGCATTTGATTTGACAATTCATATGAGATAATTGATGATGTGACACCTTATTAAATATAATTTTTTCTATTAATTACTTCTAAATTAACTTATCCAATTGGTTTAGTATATTATTTAGTATATTATTATAATATAAATATTATTTTACTTTATATTAAAATATAATATATTGTACTATACTTACAAATTACTATTATTAATTATTATATTGTATTGTATTATATTATATTAGCATGCTATATTATATATAATAATTAATATAATATAATATAAATATATTTAATATAATATTTTAATAATATAATTATTAAAATATTAATATATGTTATTATATAATATTATTAATATATGTTAGTATAATATAATATGATAAATACGTTATACTATAATTACTATTATATAATATTATTAATATATGTTATTAAAATTTTAATATATGTTATTAAAATATTATATAATATTATAATAAATAGGTTATACTATAATTACTAATTAATATTATATAATAATATATTACATAATATTATTAATATATGTTATTAAAATATTATATAATATTATAAAAAATACGTTATATTATAATTATATAATATTATTAATATATATTATTAAATTATGTTATTAAAATATTAATATATGTTATATTTTATATATCATATCATATATTTATAATATAATTAGCATGTATTAGTTAATTAATACAAAAATATTTTAAAATTATCCCAATTGCCTTCAAAGTGGAACAACATTGTTCCAATATGGAGGATGGGGTAAATTTGGGGTAATTATGAGGAAGGGGTGGATGGGATCTTTATATAGTTGGTGTAATTTAGGGGAAAGTAAATTATTTGTCTCTCAATTACCCCAACAAACCAATAACACCACAAAGTTGACTCCAGTTCCAATTTAATGAATAACACCAAAAAAGTAATATTCCAAAAATTATCCCATTATCCCCAAAATTACACCAATGAATATCCCCTAAAGTGGTGTAATTTAAGAGATCTTCATATGCATAAATATAATGATTTTGCGAGTCATCCGAAAGAATTTGTAAATAATCAATGTAACAGCTTTTGTATTTTAAAAGATAGTTAAAAGAAAGTTAAAGAAAGTTTTATAAAATCCTCATGGTCATATATAGTTATACTACTTTGCATTTAAATTAGCACAAACAAAGGTGAAAGGTAATTTCAGTAGTTAAAGAGCTGTTGTCTCCAACATAAACGAGATTTTTAGGTTATATACGTCACCACTTACCCAATTATGTTGCCTAAAGTTTGTGATTCATGTGAGAATAATGCTTTATAACTAGGAATAGCGAGAGGTTCAGTAATCAATTTTCAACGTCTTATATATTGATTAAAACAAAACGATAAAGTCAAAAAAAAAAAGATGAACTTAAAGAAAATAATATTTCAATATCATGCATAAGCGTGGACATACCAAATTTCATGTCAACACATATTTGAAATATAATGGATTAAGAGAATCCTAATAATATTTACTTAGGAGCTAGATCTTCTTTCTAAGATTAGCTAGCTTCAACAAAGAAAGACCAAGAGGAAATAATATTTGAAATAAATTTGAAGACCAAGAGATTCTAAACATGACTTTTTGCTGCTAAAGAGTAGAAATGACCGAAGATATGAAGGTTTGTTTTTGGGAAAAAATAGATTAGCCCCCTAAATCCCAAAAAAAATATTTTCAAAAAAAAAAAACACTTTACAAGAAAACAATATTGAGAAATTTATCATTTAAACCCTAATTTGTATAAAAATGAATTTTTGAGTAAATAAAAATTAATATATAATAACATTTATTTTGAAGAGCAAACGTTTATAAAGTTCAACCTTATAACAACCTAAATATGGAAGAGAGTTTATATCAACCATGCTAGTTGACCTAAATGTGGAAGAGACTTTATATCAACATATTTTCTTCCATGATATCACAATGGCTTCCCGTATATACCTTCGGTGCAACAGTTCTGATAGTAATTTCTTATGTATATATCATATTCATTTTACTTGCTTTTTCCACTAAAACATGAAAAGAAAATATTGAAAATTGGACCATCGCCCTTCTCCGAGGAAAAACTAATAACAATATATATACATTTCACAATATGTATACATTTCACAATTGGCACTTTCTATGCTACATGTCAAACAACAGCTGACCTGATTCATTTTTGAATCCATTCACCTAAATATGAAAGAAACTGTATCTCAACATGTTTTTCCGCCATTATAATACTGTGGTGATTTCATGTATATATATTTGGTAAATTCACTTTTCATAAAATTAGTTTTTTAGTATGCATCTTCATCATCTTAATTTATTTTTTCATAGAAAATGAAAAGAACATACTCAAAATGGTACTATCGTACATTCTTCTGGCCAAAGTAGCCTAAAAAGTAGAAAATAACATCAACGTAAAAAAGTAGATATTTTGCAGCCACATGCTTCATGCCATGGCTTTACTATGCGTTTATGCATATACATTTCACATATGACACTTATGACATGTGCAGAATGGCGATCAGAATGATTTGTTTTGTGATCCATTGACCTAATATGAAAGAGTCTATATCACCACATGTTTTTTGTGAAAATATCATATTATATATATATATATATATATATATATATATATCTTACATCCCGGTAATAATTTTTTATGTATATATCTTTGTCTACTTAATTCTATTTTTATAAGGGCCTGTTTATTTGGAGCAAGAAAGATGGAAACATCATTTCTAAGAGTGGCACACTCTGAAAAGTTAATCTTTTCAAAAACAGAGCCCTTTAAACAAAAAAATAAAATAAAATAAACAATTGTTTCCTAAAATAAGAAAGTACCATACTTTATGGAAATGTCATTTTAGAGTATTTTGGTTAGAAACGGTTGGAAAAGGTGGAAAACAACGACTTACGCATTAAAATAATAGTAAACATGGGTGACTGTGCGTTTTTTTTGCCAAACTGTTTCTCCCTCTCTCCCCTTTTCTATAAAAATGGTGCTTTCTTATTTTTAAAAATTCATCTAAATGTTGAATTTGCAAGAAATAGTCTTTCACACATGAACAACTGTGAAAAGTGAAAACCTCAATTTTTAAAAAACATTAAGGAAATGGTTGAAAAGTACTGTCTTCCATTTTTTATCCTAAACCATACAAAGAGGTCCTAAAACAAAAATAGAAAATAGTAAAAGGACATTATAAGAAGGTAACCCAAAAAATAAAAGGTAACTCAAAAAGTAGATTTTTTTCTTCTGTTGCCATAGTGTTACTTCTTCCATGAGCGAAGTTTTGTCATACCATATACTACTAGTGTGCACCTCGTGCAAAGCATGACCTTTATTTTTTTTATTTCTGCTACAGTAACTATGTATTTAAATACATTTTTCTAAGTACCACAATAATATTTTTTTAAATGTTACAGTATCCCGCTTGAGCAACAGTACTAATGCTACAATAATGTTACAATCCATGTTTGTGCTATAGCAATAATGCTTATATTACTGCATGAATAGTGATCCTCGAATTCTCCTGTCTGTGCTACAATAATAACGTTATTGTAATTTAGGGGGTGTTTGTTTCACCAAAAAATTTGGCATTTGGTATGCACTACAAGTTTTGGGATCAAAAAGTGAGTTTTTTTTGTATTTTGGGATTACATATATGGTGTTTGTTTTAAGAATTTTTTTTGAATATTGAATCCCAAAAGTGCAAAAAGTGCCAATTTTTAGAATTTAACAAATCCTCTCAATTGGAGAGGATTTTGACAAATCCCATAAATGGTTGTGCTTACCTCTCAATTGTAGAGGATTTGACAAATCCTAATTTTAACTTTTTATGGGAAGTAACATCACCAAGATAGCATATTCATCATATTATAAAATTTTGACATTTGGTAATGCTACAATTTGAGCTTGAAACAAATAAAATATTACAAATTATAATATTCCAAATCCCAAAATATTAATGAAACAAACAACATTTTAGAAATCCCAACCCATAACAAAACACCTATGGATTTCAAAACCCATGGTGAAATTCATATCCTAAAATTATAGGATTTAAAACAAACACTCCTTACTGTAGCATGGATAGTAAATCTTGGATTCTCCCGTTATTATAGAGGAATAAATTTCATCAAAAAGTAGAAAAGTAGTATAAGTGGGATTTTGGTATTTAGGAGGGTAGATGTAGAAAATGAGGGAGATGGATGATAAAAATCCCAATCCAAGGTTGTTTGAATCAGCCCACAGAAAACTTAAGCACCACTCTCTCCTCTTTGTCATGGCCGCTGGTTTTTCCTCCCAAAAATGGTTTTCTCTCGAACCCTTCTCCTCTCATACCCTTATTAAATTCCCACCCTGAAATATGACCAAAATCAACAGAAAGATCAATTCTTTGTGGGTTTCTCTCTGTTTCCCTTATCATTGATGAGGGTGGAAGAGAACTTGGCGGGATTGGCGACTGAGCAGGCTAGGGTTTCTTCTTCGAGGAAGGGGAAGAAGAAGAAGAAGCAGAAGAAGTCTGAATCGATGCCTACGGTTGTGCAAAGGCTGTTTGATACTTGCAAGGATGTGTTTGCTGATTGCGGCCCTGGGATCATTCCCTCGCCTGAGAAAATTGGGATGCTTAGGTCCATGTTAGGTATTGAAATCTTAATTCATTTGATAGAATTTTGTTGTTTTTAGCATGTAGGTAGCCTTTAGATTGGATCAAAAGGGCGTCTTTGATTGAAAGAAGGGAAATTTTGAGGGATTTGGATTAATTTGGTGTTATTAGGATATGGGTAGTGACTAGGTTTATGATTAGTGATTGAGATTTGGGTTCCGTATTCATAATTTGATAGAATTGAGATCTTGTAGTTTATGGGTAGTTGGATTTTGTATGTGATATGCAATTTGATTGTTACCTTTGGAGCAGAGCATCACTTTTTACTGTTGACCTTTCACAATGTAAACTGTTGGGTTATTTTGGTAGGATTGTACTTTCTTGTTATCTGCTTATTCTTCGTGCTTCCTATTCTGGATAACAATTAAAATGTAATAATTTGAAGATGGTTTGTGACTCTGGTTGTGAATATTTTCTAAGTTGACTTCTAAGTTATGGTATGTTTTCAATGTATTTTTGTCTGTAATTATGGTTATTTTGTTGAATTGTTGCCATCTAATATTTAGAGGGCAGATTTGAGAGATGATGTCATGAATGATTTGCTGTTGCTATTGAATTGTCACGGGAATTGGTTTTTATAATTTTTATCTATTTAAAGTAGCATTTTTAGCTTCTCAGTTCTCAGTCTGTTTTCAATATCCATCTACTTTTTTATTTCTGTTACAAATATGAAGGATCATTATGTGGTTAATGCAAGCGTATTCGAGTTTGTTACTTTTAAGACTTTCTATTTCTATTTGTTAGAATACTTTTTTCGGGGATGGGGCGGGGCAGGCAGGTAGTTTGTTGCAGTTGGATAAACTGCTCATTTGGAAAAAGTCTAATGTATAGAATTTTCTCTATGAGATAATTGAATGTATAACTAAGGAAATTGTTTGACATATGGACATATGTTAACCATTGAGAAGCTGCATATAATTATGATCAAATGTAATTTAATGTTTTCCTAATGGTGCCTAATCTCTTTTTTCCCCCTCTCATGCAGATAGCATGAAACCATCGGATGTTGGTCTTAGTCCAAAGATGCCTTATTTCAGGAGCAATGAATTCAGGGGGCCTCCTCCAATCACATACTTACATCTTTATGAGTGTCCTAGATTCTCGGTACCTTACATACCCATAAATCCAATCCCAATAATTTTCTTTTATAAAGTTTCATAATCTTTAATCCTCCAAAATTGCTAACTACACCCTGCAGATTGGTATCTTCTGCCTGCCTCCATCTGCAGTCATTCCACTACATAATCACCCGGGAATGACCGTCTTTAGCAAGATTCTCTTCGGTTCTATGCACATCAAGTCGTATGATTGGACCGATGCCTCTCAAATCACCAGCGAAATGATCAAACCTGCGCATCGTAAGCTCTATAAACTTAATTCGTATAAAGGATAAATTTTACAAAGGCCTCCAAAACTTGGGGCATTGCCCACAAAACCACCGTGAATATTTTTTCCCCACGAAGACCCTAAAACTTAACTCCAAAGAGTCTCTAATAAACTCCCAAAACTTTGAACTTTTTCCACTAAACCCCGAATGGTGAATCTTGCAATTGGAGGACCTATTATCTGCCCGATTCTATCCTTTCCTTATTTTCTCTGGGCTCATCTTCACCTTGCGGCTTTATAGAGAGAAATTAGAAGTTTTTTGGGGTTGTAGTTTTGCAGGTTTAATGGAAAAGACAAAATCCATGGGGCTTTGTGGTATCCCAAAGTTTTGGGGGCTTTTGTGGAATTTATCCTCGTAAATGAGTAATATGACTGACATCTAAGTTACCTCCTCCTAATCCTAAGCACAACTCTTTTTCTCGATTTCCTCTTTTATTTTGGGTGTTTGGTTTGCAGTTCAGGATCGAGACCTGAGATTGGCAAAGGTGAATACTGATGCAGTCTTCATTGCTCCATGCGAGACTTCCATTCTGTATCCAGCTGCTGGAGGCAATATGCATTGTTTTACTGCGAAGACCTCTGTTGCTGTTTTGGATGTGCTTGGCCCACCTTATGATGATGCTGCAAAAAGGCATTGTGCCTACTACACCACTTTTCCTTGTGCTAATATCTCTGGTGTTTTCTCTAATCTTTTCTCTTTAATGTTTTTAGATAATGTTTGTTTTACAATTTTAGGTTGAGGATATTGTATTTGAGTTGGTAACCTCATTTAGGGTGTGTTTGACAAAATATCAAAAACTGGGCCAGGATCAGTCCTGGCCCATTTTCATCCTAAACTAGTTTTAGTTTGTCTCGGCCAAACTAAAACCAGTTTATGGGCCTTTTTTTAGGCTTACAAAAGTTGGTTGGCCTAGTTATTTTCCAAATAGGAAAGCCCACAAAACTGACAGGTTGAGACAGGTTGAGTCTTGACCCGTGTTCGGAGTGTTGCCAAGCACACCCTAGTAAAATGTCCTACAAGAGTTAGCAGTGGTGAGGTCCATGTACTCTGATGTGATGCGACAGGGTGGGCCTGACCACTAGTCTATCCACCCATGGCAGTTCATTTAACGAAATGAGCTAGCTTAAATGAGTTGCCACCTCATGACCATTTTTTCCATTTAGCTTTTGATGTCTAATTTACTGGATGCATGTCACAGATATTATGTGTCCTAGTGGTTACTGATTTGTTCATGCTTGTAAGGAGAGTAGATGACACATGAATTAGTTGGCAAATCATTTCACTGTTACCTTTGAAAGTTCCCTATGCATTCCATCTTAGGACATGTGAATCTAATGACGTCCTTTGAAGGATTTACATGTAGGACATGCTCAGTTACGTGTAAATGGCAGTCTTGTTTCCCTTCAAAACAAACTTTTTTCATTTCAATTTGAAGGAGCCAACAACTTTGTCCGTAGTGATCTGGCAAATCAACTTTCCCAAATAATGGTCTTAAAGTCTAGTATTGGATTTCACATAGTGGCACAAAGGGAGCCAAACAACTTTGTCCTTGGTGATCTGGCAAATGAACTTTCCCAAATATAGTGGTCTTAAGTTCTGGTACTGGATTTCACATAGTGGCATTCTTGTTAGTTCAAAATATTAAATATAATTTCCAATTTAACCTCCCCACCAAATCTGATCTATTTTTACCTATGTTACCCGGGTACTTCTATAATGAAGCTGTACCCGTACCGGGCACGTACCCGACACTTTCCCGTACCCAAACTTTATGGACACTTCTTGAATATATGCATGCATTTATTACACGTACCCGACACTTTCCCGTACCCAAACTTTATGGACACTTCTTGAATATATGCATGCATTTATTACAACATGTACTCAATTATACGATATATGTGTTAATTTAAAACACTTGTCAAAGACTTCCTGGACGTAGCTTACACTTCACATTCGTCTTTTGAAACTAATGTGATACGGGTCAGATTTGTTTCAGTCCATACCCAAGTTTAAAACTATATAGTTAATGAGTCGTTTAGATGTCTAGTAAAAAATGAGTAGTTTACAATTCACGATAATCAATATGATAAAAGAAACTCAAAAATGTGATCGGAATTTTAATTCTAATGACACATGAAGGGGAAACCACCCCCCCAAAAAAAAAAGAAAAAGAAAAAGAAAAACCAACCAAAAAAAACCCAAAAGGGGGAAACACACGCACACACAAGTTTAAATTCAGGAGACAAATAAAATGCAAAATAAAGAAGAAAATTGCGAACAGGCAATTCCGACACCCATTTATCACCCATACCTAAACTTCAAACCCCACCAAACTCTTTGATGTTTAGACACTCATTTTATGCATACTGAGGTTCTATTCTTTAGTGTCCACTTCAGGATCTCGCTGTATTCCTTTTTTGGAGGTTCCTTCACTTTCATTTCTATGATGAGAGAAACATACTAGGACTACTTTTGCTTACAATTCCTCACATTCTCATCAAATTGCAGAGGATCCAGCTGCAGCCTCCAGCGAGGGGGAGATGTATGCCTGGCTGGAGGAGAAAGAGAAGAAACCCGACGACTTGATCGTGGTTGGTGCAAAATACAAGGGCCCTAAAATCGTACAGCATTGATTGATGTGCTGATTATAGTCTGCGATAGTGCTGCCAATGTGATGAAAAGAGGGGAATTATAACATCTTCTGCAGTGTTCAAGCGCAGCAGTGAATTAAAACATCTTCTGCAGCTCCGGTTGTAAATAGACAGGAGGAAGGAAAGGGAAAAGGGAGAAGAGGGTTCTGAGTTCAGTTTTTTTCCCTCTTTATTTTTTCTTCTTTAGTTGTTAGTTAAAAACAGTTGCAGAAACTTATCTTTTGGTCTCAATAGCTTGTTTTTGAAATTTGGATTGCAGTATACATCATTTTAATTGTCAATTCTGTGTTATTCGTTTCCTTTGCTTGTTGCTTCTTGCTAGCAGTCTACATGGCTAGTTTCTTTGCAAATTAGGTGTTTTTTCTCGCCAGAATTCGGATTTTTAAGTTCTGATGAATTAAGAGCTGATAAATTCAGAGATTTTCAAGAGTTATGGGATGGGTATTTTGCGCCTCAGAAGGAGCAAAGCATTTCCCGCAGACTGCTTACATTTGCTGTTCTAATGCAATGATGCGCTCGTCGTGCAGTCAGCGTGAAGTCAAGATGGAGATGGAAATGGACATTGGTGATAACCACTGAAAACCACATCTACTTTCCTTTATAACATAAAGGTTAAAGGAAAACCTAAAAGTGAACAGTAAACTTTCTTATTATCCACATATTTATCTCCAATTAAACAATTCCCCATCACTTCCCTACAACCGTGTTTATTAGAGTGGCACTAGGGGCACATCTCTAACCACAACTCCAACCACACCCTCTCTCACATTTGCTACAGTGCACCGGGCCCACATGAGATTTAAAAAATTTAAAATCTCATGTGGGCTCCGGTGCACTATAGCAAATGAGAGAGATGGTGTGGTTAGAATTGTGGTTGGGAGTGTGCCCCTATCATTTTCCTTTTTATTAAGTGGCCACGTTTTACAGTTGCCCACAACTTCCCGAACTACTCAATCCATATCCTTATATACTCCGCTCTCTCATTTTATCTCCGTTAATAGAAACTCCGATATGTGAGCCATTTCTTTGGTGCCCTAGATTTTCTCTCCCAAAAATTATCTAATTTCTCTCTCACTCGCCGATTCCCACTCCGATCGCCGCTCCCAAGATGGTCAGGAATTGTCTCGACTTTTGATCTCTAGACATTTGGCTCAAAATCCTCTTCAAAACCCATTTCTCTCGATCGTTTCTTCGGATCGCTTTCTTCACACGCCACTGCTGCAATTAAAAAAAAGGTGATAATTTTGGAATCCGAGGAGGAGGAAGGATAAGAGAATGTCAGAATTAGGATTAGGATTTGAAGAAGAGAGGATGAAGAAGAAGAAGAAGCAGCAGCAGCAGCAGAATCAATAGTACAAGCTCTATTCTACAACTACGGTAAATTTTCATCTCTCTGTCGATCATGCGAATTTAGTGGATTATTTTCCTTTCATTTTTGACGTATTTTTTTAGAATAATGCTAGAATGGAGCGACAAGAATCAAGTTCAATAAATATTTCCTCAAATTCCAATGGGCGCTAATGTCAGAGAGACGTACATGATTTGAGGAACTGAATGTCAAAATATGAGGCGAGATTTGCCGATTGAGGTTGATGCTGGGCTCAAAGGATTTGAGATTTAGGTTTAGGGTTTCAGTAAATGATAGGATTGGTAAATTGCAAAATTTTTATGTTTATTTCTCAATGAGGTTCTTTTATGAATGAGGTTGTCTGTTATATTTTGATGCAGGAGGATTTGATGCATTCCCATCCATTCTTACAAAATATTCTTTGGACGGGTCTTCATAAATTTGTTGAACCAATTTTGATGCACTGGCCTGGTAGCAAGCTGAGAGAAAAGGCTCTGAATAATGCCATGGAGCATATACACTATGAAGATAACAACTCTAGGTACCTTTCTGCTAATGTTCTTGCCAAGGTAAGCATTAAAAATCCCCTGATGGACTTTTCATTTAGTAGTATATTTTGGTTCATTACTGATTGATAGAATTGATAAAATGTATGAGAGCATCTTTTATCGCACGATAAAATCATCTTTTATGACATTAGTAATCTCTTTACTTCTCAGAGTTGTTTATATCATGCTTTAACAATGTATCCTTTTGCATGTTAGTTGTTGGTCTTATTGGCGCATATACAGAAACATTCCTGACATTAGTTAAAAACTAAGTTATTTTATAGTATTCTTTCTTCAATAAAACATTTTTCTTGTTGGGTTGTTTTCCTTTTTACTTACTTTTTACTTTTTAGTTTCAGTACTGATAGTTTTAGTTTTGAGGTTATATATATATATATGAACAATTTTTTACTTCAGCCCCATTTTAATTTTTTTATTGAAATCGACCCCCTTTTTTTTATTTACCAAAACCGACCCGATTTCTTGATTAGCTTCTTAATCACCTTCCTAAATAGTCGGGGTTGCCAACCCCGACTATTTAGGATATTAATTTTTAGGGTTTAAGACTTCTAAGTAGGGTTTAACACCCTTCTAAATAGTCGGGGTAGGCAACCCTGACTTTTTAGGAAGGTGATTAAGCTACTAATCAAGAAATCGGGTCGGTTTTGGTAAATAAAAAAAAGCGTCGATTTCAAAAAAATAAAATAAAATGGGGCTGAAGTGAAAAATTGTTCATATATATATATATATAACTTGAAATATTAACAGATGAGGTTGTTAAACAAATACAAAGAAATTCACCAACCCTCTTGACCTTTATGATCCCTCCCTTTAATTTTTGAAAATAATCATCTATTTCTCTGTCATTAGTAAAGTCTAAACGTGTCTGCACTAAGATTGCAATCATTATATTCCAAGAGCAAATTATACTTTTTTAGCATATTTTATTTCAGTTTAACATGCTAAAATTGGCCAGCTATCAATTGATTGTTATTTTGTTTCTCTCTTATTTTGTTTTTGACTTTGAAAACTGCTGTTTGCTTCTACAAATTGACTGGTGCTGGCTATGATTTCAATTTACTGTATTTTTACTTTTTTTGATGATCTTTCTTCTATTTATCCTCTTTGTGCAGGTTGTAAACTTTGGCAGTGAGTCTGTAAACCTGATGTTCTCTGTTTCTGGTTTGCAAAATACTGTCAACTCACCGGGATCAAAGATGACTATTCTTACATCCAGTAATGTAATGGACGAGAATTCCTTCAAAGAACCAAATAAGGTAAAAATAATTACAGCAGATAATAAGGTACAAAGATGCATGAAAAAGTTGGAAGAGTTAAATACTTTTTGCCTGCATTATCTATGCTTCTGAATTTTCATAAAACTTGAAACAAAGAAATGACCAAATATAAGTAGGTTATGTTACTCCATTATAAGAAAATGAATAAAAGAGATACTCAAGGTTCTACCCTAACGTAAGATGGAAGCAACATAAATCTAATCCAATATCCATTCATGCAGAACGTGCCGATTCAGAGTACGCTACAAAATACATGTTCTTTGATGAACGTCGTGCTTTCTCCACATTCGTTTACTTCATTTGATCTATCGTTTGCGTCACCATCTCTTATATCTTCAATGTAGAGCAATCAAGAAGATACAAATATACAAATAGAATAGAAGGGTTAAATGGTTAGAAAAAAAAGAAGAGGTTCGTGTTGTAAGAATGGAAAATATGTTGACAGCTTGGTGTATTGAAAGATACAGTTATTTATATTGGGTTTGAATATATGATAATGACGAATAAAGAGAAATTTAGTACATTGTGTTTCTGTTTTTCTTTCCCTATGTTACTTATTGTGATCTGCAAAACTTACGATCCTTATCATGTGATTTATATTGGGTTTGAATATATGATAATAACGAATAAAGAGAAATTTAGTACATTGTGTTTCTGCTTTTCTTTCCCTGTGTTACTTATTGTGATCTGCAAAAATTACGATCCTTATCATGTGATTTATATTGGGTTTGAATATATGATAAATTTATATTGGTTATATATAATGGACTTCAAGTGTGTTTAAGATAAATTTATCGTGACAAAACAAAATCTTTATTGGTTATATATGATAGTCTTCAAGTATGTTTAAGATAAATTTATCGTGACAAAACAAAAAAATGAGATGATGAAAAATTACGCACAAAAATAATCTGTAAGGATGCCGTGTTTGGCACGGGATGAATACTAGTTAATAACAATGCTTCAATCTGCCGGCTCTATTACAACCCCACAGGTACATTTTCTCCTACATAACTCTCATACTCAATGTGTAGGAACTCTTATTCACTATTAACTTAGGGCATATCAGCCAGTTTACGACAAGATACATATAATAACACTTCTCTCTACGTTGATGGCGGAAGTTCCCAATTCTGAGGCAAAGGTCCGATGTCATATATGATCTCTCGGTGACACGACCAGACGAGTTTTATTGCTTCTGGAGTTCCGATTCCTGCTCCTCTTGGATCACCAGCAGGTCCGAACCTGTAACATAAATTCATTTCACATCAGAGTGCGGATAATTTTGACAGAAAGCCGGAATGGTGAAGGAATTGCTTAGAAGTCTTACTGACCAGTGATTTTGCGGAGCTCCTGTTGTTCTTGCTCTCATACCAGCATATGTTGTCCCGTTTCAGCAGATCTCCGCAAGAACTTCGCTGGGGGGGGGGGGCGGGTTCATCTAAACGTTGAATGGTGAAAGTTTTACATGGTCAAAATTGACAGATGGTAGCTTCCTCTTTATGGCAGTTAACAAGAGTTAAGTCCAACGAATCATTAAAATATACGACTAAATTTTGCAAAACTACCATGACTTGGAGGATTTGCAAAGTATCGTAAATTTTTTACCAAACCCCCATGTCTCAGGACAGTTAGGATGAACTGCCGTGTGCATCACATGTGATATGTTTTGGACAATTTCGTCCTTATCTTTAGATTCGGAGGAAAAAAAGGAATCATATTTAGATTTTTAGTAAAACTTGCCTGCAAGAAAAGTTGGTCACTTGATACAACTGCAGCCGTTAGATGTGCATGCATCTTCTCCAGAGCATCCAGCACCATGTCCAGCTGATCCTGCTTGTACTGGGTGACAATCTGCCCAAAATACACATTAGTTAAACTGAACATCTTATAACATCATGAATTATTTTCATAACTACATGTCAGGTATAGCCTGGATTTAGAACTCGCCTAAGACACAGAAGATCCTAATTTAGGGTTAAAAGCCCTACAAGAAATTATCTTCATGCAAGCTGCCATGTAGAGATCGGAATTTTCTCTACCCAAATAAAAACAGAAAACATAAAGTTTGCAATACCGTAAGGCATATATAGGAAAAGTGGCTTTTATATGTCTATTTCTTTACCTGGAAGGGGCCAAAAATTTCTTTTGTCACCAGACTGAAATTGTTTTCTTTAAGGATCTCATCAATGGGAACAAAAACGGCTGTTGGTTGTATAGCTCCATATATTTTTGGAATAGAGTGATCCTGCAACTGTTCGCCTCCAAAGAGTAACTTTGATCCTGGAATCTGAAGCAGCTTATTGACGTGTTCAAGCATGTTTTCTGTCGTTACCTGTGGATCTTGAAATTTGTCAGATAACAGAACTGTAAATCTTCATAACAGAATAATCTAATTCAGCTAAGGGCCCGTTTGGATAATGAAAGTACTGGAAGTAAGAAGTAGGTTACAGAAGTAACTTTTAAAATTATGAAATAGGAAGTAACGGAAATAGCATTTTTTTGTTTGTTTCATATATTTTTAGAAGTAATGGAAGTAGAACTTCTTCCTATTCATTTACTTTTTTTGTTTGGATAATATTTGAAAACATTACTAGAAACTAATTAATACATGTTGGTTCTATTTTATTCTTTTTTAGATTGTCATTGAAATAGAAATAAAATTGTTGTTGGGTTCAAATTGAGCGTTCCTATTGAAACCTCATGACATTGCAAATATACTTAATATTACAGATACTGTTTACTAAACATACTCTTGAAAATTGAATTAGTCATTTGAGAAAAATCTCTTATTAAATTTAACCAAATCGGTGAACATTAAGAAACTGGTCAAAAAGAACGATTTTCTTAAACTTGATTTGATCAACGTGATTGTGTATGACACATTGACATATTGGGTTGATTTGATGTGTCACCTTTATCAAATTCCTTGCATCAAATTGTGACTGAGTTTAGCTTGAATTTATTTTAAAATTTAATTTTTTTTTTTACTTTTTGTTTGGCTGATTAATTATAGAGGTTGGCCTTGTAATTCAGCGATGGCCTTGTATTTAGGTTTTGTTTGAGGAGGTAATAGATTTAGAATTTGGAGATTTTGGGGGTGATGGTCACAGGAAATTTCAAACATATATTTTATGATAATGAGGGTTTTTCGCCCGGTGCATAAATTGTCCATCGTGAATTACCTGCACGTATATACCTTCGGTTGTAAAACCCTGTTCATTATCTGAGTTATAATTTAATATCATTTAAGATCATCTAATTTAAGTGGACCCCACTTTTTATCCACTTCCCCACTACTTCTGAGCTTTCAAGGGCGGAAAAAAAATCTAGGAAGTAGGAGTGCCACCTAGACGTCACATCTGCATTTATGGAAGTAGCTGAAGTAGTCTTTTCAGAGAAACAAACATAATTTTTTGTTTGAAATAGGAGAAACTTCCTCTACTTCAGTTACTTATTTGCTACTTCCGTGCAAACAAACAGGCCCTAAGAGAAACATTCATCACAATAAAACTAATTCTACGCAAAGCGCACATTCTAAACTCATAACATCAAATAGGTAGAGATTTCTACACCTACTTCCACACAGTGCTAGATATGACCAGCATTTTTTTTGTTGGGTGTTGGGGGGGGGGGGGGGGGGGACAG